GCGGGAGGGGGGACTCGGTGAAGTTCGGGGGCAGATGGCAGTTGGCGTCCTCCCGATGTGGGGGCCATGTGGCCAGTGCCGTCCTGCCCACGTATGATTGAATTATCCAGTGGTACTTCACGTGTCATAGAGCAGCAGATAAAGTGCACAGATAGTGACAGATAGCGAAGTCACATATATCCTAACCAAACTTTTCTTCAACATATCCCATCTTGGAGATTCATTTAAACGTGGAAGTGAGCATACACACAGGACAGAAATAGCTAAACCAAAGTTGTTGGTTCAGCTATTGTTGTTCATGATTCCTCTGAAATCCTGCAACCTGTCCATAACCGCACTACCTCTTCATTCTAGATTGTCCTTCAAAGAGGTAAGGATAAATAATGTCAGCCCCTGGGAGATGACATTAAGCAGGTACCCTATAGCTTTGGGTGGACCAGATGCTTGACAGGGTATTTTGTCATGCACCACTGGTAAGTTTTTTTCAAGAATGCATATTTATAGTTGCTTTGCTTGCTAAAGTAATTGGATGAGTATAGTGAATTCTATCCCTTCTAGCAACCCAGAGTCCTTTTGCAGATGGGATCTTCCAAGAGAAGTGAAAGGCCTTACCCACAGGTTTTGTGTTAGACCTGACACCAGGACACAGGTTGATTTCCTGAATGTCAGTCTAGTGTCTGGTGTATGAGACATGGTATTTGCCTGTGAGAGTTTTAGCCTATCACAGCCTTATGGAAGCCGTGCTTATGTGTGTTAACCTACCGGGCAGATAATAACATAAAAGGAAATGTAGCACTGAGGAGCTTCACCTAGCTCAATCTGCACTTGGGAACTAATTCCAAAGGGAATACAAAATCAGCTGTTTCCTTCAAGAAATACACACAGTGTGGAACAGCAGACACCAGTTCATGCTTCTGATGTTTCCTCTCCCTACATTCTTTCTGTGGCTCAAACCTCCTCCATTCATGAGGCTGTGGCTATGCACTTTTGTAGGCACAACGAAGACGGATGGATCGTGATGGAAGTACCAGAGGTTAGTTGACTCCTGAAAGAAGGGGACCATGAAGAATATGGATCGTGATGGAAGTACCAGAGGTTAGTTGACTCCTGAAAGAAGGGGACCCATGAAGAATATGGGAAAAGTTGGTGGCCCTAAATCAGGAAAGTCAGAAAGTGGAACCAGGTTCTGACCCAGGTCCTTTTAACAAGTACACCCTCCAGACATTCCCCTTTTTTCTGTGTGTCTGTTTCTCTAATCCAGGCACTCACGTGTGGGAAAGCACGTCTGTGATGGTTAGAACCTTCATGCCACTTCAGGGATAAACTTCTGTCTTAGGGTATAGGGGTCCCCCAAATTAGAGAGGATACCCTGCTAGGGGTAAGTCAAGTGTAAAACCATTCCAGAGTCTCCCACTCTGGCTAGTGAACCAAGGACTTTTTAGTACGGACACACTACGTATGTGGCACCCAAGTGCATCTCAGGAAGTATATGCTGGATGTAGTGAGTCTCGGATGCATGAAGGTTGCTCAGTCCTGGTCACAACTCCGATTGAGAGGTCACATCTGTTTCCTTCTCCTCTTGACTCTGGGCAGGCTTGTGATGGCTTTGACCCATGAAGAATGGTGGAAGTGATGTGAAGCCTGTCCAAGAGGTAAACTTAAGAGGACTGGTATCTTCTGGTTTGCTATTTGAGAGCTCTGAGCTGCCTATCCTCCAGGAGACACTTCCTGGAGAGGTTCTGTGAGTTATTAATAAAACATGCCAAGTTACCAGTGAGAAACTGCAGAAACGTCTAATGAGTGGTCAGGAAAGTGGAAGATGAACTTGAGTGTAGAAAAGTATATGGTAATACACTTAGAGAAACTTGAGGCAAACCACATAGAGGATTGTTATAAGATCAATACATAGCACTCTTTGCTGCCACATCAGAGATGTGATTGTGTGTCAGTGAGGCAATTCTTAAGTCATTTAATTACATGTCATCTAAAGTGTAGCAAATTTGGCATTGGTAATATATACTATATATATGCAATAGCAAGTATACTGAGCACTGAACTAGGAATCACATCTGAGTTTAAACTAAGCTTGGTTGCTTACTATGATTTTGAGAAGATTGATCGGCTCCTCTGAGTCTTAGTTTCTATATCTGTATAATATCTTATTTTCATGGTGATTATGAATATCCAATAAATTATAAATAAAATTGTTTGCTTAAAGAATATGATCATATTTGTCAAAGATTCTCAGGACAGGTTGAAACAATAGATATACTCTACCTATAAAGTGTTGGGCACACAAGCAAGGCAAGGCCAAGGTATGATAAATTTGGTCATTAAATATGCAACAAGCCCTTTTCAGAATTAGACAGTTTATTACATACATAGACATACATAGACAGCCAAAGGAGCCAGCTCCCCATGGTCCTAGTCCTACAGACCAAGTGGATGAAACCAAAACAAAAGGGGCCAGGACGCAATGCATCTTGAGTTGTGGGACACCCTATTGCTGAGAAGCCAATGCTATGAAGCAGTTAATCAGTTTTATCACCTGAAGTTGTACCCAAAGGAGGCAATGTAGAAAGCTTCATATCTTATTAGAACTCAGGAGGCAATGAGAAACTGGCTCATGCCAATCTCCTTGGTAAATAGGAAGGAGAGCGGGAGGTGGCCTCATAGCAGCTCTTCACAAGCATCCCATGTTCTCACATTCTGGGAGGATCACAAGGCATTCTGCCAAGACACGGATTCACTGCAGTTCAAATCTTGCCTTTGTGGCCTAGTGGACACATGCAAGATCACCAGGGCCCTGGCATAGATCCATTCTCCTACCCAAGGACAAATGTTTTTCTACTCTTTGACCAAGCTGATAACATCATCATTTTAATATTTTCTGCTGTGGTAAGCCAGAAGAAATGACATCTCACTAGTTGTTGGTGGGACACTGGAAGAAAGTTAGCACAAGTCTCAAAGTCAAATCTATCTTAGTTGGAATCTTGCTTTTACCGCTTAATAGCTAAGTGGTCTCAGGCATCTAAGCCTCAGTTTTCCTCATCTGTAAAATACTGACAGTAATACCTACCCTATGGGATTATTATGGGGTTTCAATAAGATAATTTGTATCAATTCAATTCTGTATACTGAAGTCTTTTTTTCCTATGTTAAAGTGTCTGACAGAGTAGTAAGGTACATAATAATATAGTTACCCATTGCTTAATGTTTACCTATTATCATTCCCAAAACTTGTCCTCATTTTCCAGGGGCTGATAACCTAGGTTTTTTTGGTTTTGTTCATTTATTTTTTGTGTGCCTAAGGAGACCCCTTCACTACCAGATGACAAAAGTCCTTTATAATTTTGTTGAATGGAGAGCTTACCTTTGTGTCGACACCTCACCAAGGGAATCAGTCTTGGTTCAATTTTTCAGCCAGAAAGAAGACCAGTAGAAAAGAATTCTTGACCATGTGGGATCATATGGTGAAAAGACATTCACCTTTAGTAGTAATAAAAAGTTGACATTTGATAATCTAGAGTTACCATTTTTATTCATTATATGGAAAATGTTTTTTAAACATAATATCCAATATTGGTGGGGATGCAAAGGATGGACACTTCCATACATTACATTCTGGTGGAAATTAAATTGATACCTTCTTCCTGGAGAATAATTAGGTGACGTTCATCAAAAACAACTTACTAAGTCTCTTTGTGCCTCAGTTTTTTAATCTGTAAAATGGGAACACTAGTGTCAGCCCTGCCTACCACACACGGAGTGTATCAAGAACTGAGAAAAGTCTGATATTTTATCCTACTTGCAAGCCAACAAGTCATCTGGTGACAGTTTGATAGATACTAATGGAAGACATGAGACTACTGAGTCAACGAAGAAAGACACTTTATTCCTCATAAGCATGGCGATGACCAGAATGTCAGCAATTTTACGCTAGTTCCAAGAGCTCCAATTTCCAGAAGACAATGGGAAGAGGGCCATATGGCACCTGCATGCATTCCAGGATTACAATATTACAGGTTGCGTTACAGGAGAGGAATTCTGAATTTAGAGAATCTGAATATTTTATAATGGACAGTAGTGGCTTCCCTTTGCTTCAGCGAGAGATGTAGTCTTTTTTATACTGGACAGTAAGCATGCCTGCTCTTTGCCCCTGAGGGAGAAAGTAGGTCTATCTTCTAAGGCTATTTGCTATGCAAATATCCTTGAAAAGATAACACGAAACAAAGGGTGGTCAGCGCCTTGCTTGCAAAACATGCAGAAACTCAACAGTCTCATGGAGAATTGTCTCCTAATGATACCTACTTTTCATTTTTACATGATCTTAGCTTTTGATAAAATTTCCTGTAAGTTAAGGATACCGCCCCATCAGCCACTCCGATTATTCTGATTGACAGAGACTGGGACCAAATCTGTTGAAT